CACGTTGAGGGTACAAGGTACAAAGTGCAAAAACTTAGATACCTCCAGTGCAAAATTGTGCCCAAATGGGATTACTTCCTTCAAAGATTTCGATAATTTCGTTCACATATCATAGAATATATCCAAGGATTATTTACAGAGACAACTGTATAAGTATGGGACATATTTGAAATTCACCAATAAAAGGGTTTTAGTTTCAGAACAAATCCTTCCAGTGACTAGACAAATGATCTTTTAGAAGCTTCCGAAATGCTGCGAAAAATACTATCATCTTTGATAACAGAACAACCAACCAGCATAGGATAACTGTTTTGCAGTGTGAAAACTCTTCTGCTTACTTATATCTCAAGCAATAACTTCGGTTCTTGGGATCTTTTGGATTGAATAAAACAACTAATCTACCAAAAAAATCAATATTATAGTGTCTACCCACCCTCGCGCTATCTTTAAAAATGTTACAATCACGAATTTTAGCGTAATTCTACTGAAAAACGAGAAACCGCATCTCAATTGATTCATTAAGGTTTGAAAAAGTAAACATTATTCCAGTCTTTGTATATGTTGCATGTGCTACCGAACTTTGAAAAAAAATTAACGTCAAGCATAACTAATTTTCTTTCCATTTATCCTCTCTTACTGTTTAGTGTATTTGAAAGGAAAAATGAAATCGGAGGAATTTGTACCAAACGATAACTCGCAGCTCCTAGCTATTACGTAATGACGAATCCGGTAAAGTATGGGAACTGTAGGTATAAACCTAAACTTACTATCCGTATTATCAGTTGGCACTAATAAAGTGAGTCTGTCATTTGATTACCTTATTATGTAGCACAGCTGAATGTAAAAAAAAAACAATGCAAGTTAGGATGTTTTGGTTGCTAAGACTTATAGTGTGCAGCTCAGTATAAACAAGGAAACCGCACGTACTTCTTATGAGGCTGCTCCAGTTAGAAGCCATCTAAATCATTTCAAAGTTTTTTTTTCATATTACAAAAAATTACACAAACAACAAACCTGTAATGGTTGTTGTAAGAACTGCTAGTAGTGCTTCCTGTTCTTTTGAAACTTCCCCATTTTCACGATGACTCTGGAAGGATAAACATTGCAACCAGCCTGATAAGGGACATTACATATGCCAGCCTGAATTAGATAAGGGACATTTATATATGCCAATCTGAATTAGCTATCGCGGCAAAAGCGATTTTTGTTAGACGAACAAATTTTGGATTGTAGGTAAATATATTCATGAGTAAACT